CCACCCCTGCAGCTAAGAATGTGGCCCCAGGTGAGACCCCTTGCTGAGGACAGCCTGGGCCACAGCTTGGTTGGGCTACCCGTGCCCACTCGTGGACCAGGCTGGGTGGAGTGCAGCCCTGGGGCTGGACATGCCCATTAACAAACCGCCCAGCAGGCTCTGGCCTCAGCCCCCTCCTCTCCACGGCCCACCCCTCACTGCTCAGAGTCCAGGGAAGGGTGAGGTTCCTTCCTTGGGAGGGGCCAACTGCTCATACCACCACACTGGCCTGGCCTGGGGACCTCACTCCCCAACACTGCCAAGGCCTACCCCAGCACCTTTGCATCTCCCAGGAACGTTGCTCACAAGGTTGGGGGGAGTGAATAAGGGGTTCCTACTGACATGGAGGATGCCGAGATAGTGGAGGGTGTAAACAAAAAGGGGTCCTCATTCTGCAACCCCTCATCAGGCAGAAAACAGCTTCTTAGCTCTGGGGAGCAGAGGCCCCCTTGAAGCAAGCTTCTGGAGGGGTTAGAGTGTTAGGGAACTGCCCTACTTGGGCCCACTTGGGCCTCAGAAGCCAAGAGCCAGGGCATGGGGCCGCCCAGGTGGCTGTGTGGGGTGGGCAGACAAGGAGGCGGGTTGTGGCAGCTGGGGCGCAGACCCAGGCAGCAGCTGGAAGCAGAGCAGTGTGCGCTGGATAGCCCAGGGCTGAGGGCCACGGGGGTCTGGAGGGGAGGCAGCCTCGTGTGCAGTGGCCAGGTCCAGCAAGGGCTCTAACCACTCCTCAGTGCCCAGGCAGGAGTACACTGTAGCACAGACCCTCGAGCTGCCTGTCTCTGAATCCCTTTCCTCCCGCAGCCAGGCAACAGGCTGCGTTGGGATGCCCTCTGGGGAAGCAGGATCCTGCAGGTCATAGCTCCCAGGCTTTCTTGTATCTAGGCTCATGTGGGTGCCTGGCCAGAGCATCTGTGGGGGTGTGGATGGAAGGAAGGGCATCAAGACAGAGCTCCATCCCACCTGCCCTGGGCCTGAGAGGCTGTAGCAGCAGAGCCTCCAGCAAGCACCTACAATGCCTGTGTTCTGGAGTCCCAGTGCAGCAGGGTGACTAGGATATTTCTCTGTCCCTTGTCCCTAAGCCTATGTCTTTGCCCTTTCAGAGAAAGAACAAGCCTCCTGCTACCCAAGACTGCTGACTCTCTGGTGGGGCCTAGCACCTTCCCAGCACTGGGTACCCAGGACAACAGCCCAGCTGGGGCCCCATGTGGCACCAGCATCCCCACCCCCAGGGCATCGTAGCCCACCACACTGCACACAAGCCTCTCGCGTGCTGACTCCTCTGATGTCCCATGACCCTTTGTGCTGATGTCAAAAAGGCGAAGTCTGAGGACAGGAGCTGCAGTGTAGGCCCAGTGAACAGCAGCCAAGACGCTCACCCAGTGTGGAAACAGCCACAGCCACACCATGAGGGGCTCTGAGGGTGTTGTCTCCTGAGCAGATGACACACCTAACTGTCACATTAAAGGGGGGCAGAGCCATCACACCTCAGCCCCAGCCTGATAGGATGGCAATGCCCTGACCACCTGAACACTGACTAGTCCAATGACCATGACCAACCTGCCCCACTGGACTGCCCCGAGCCCGAGGATCCAGCACACTAAAATCCAGCAGAACTGAGCCAGCTAGTCAGTGTTGGTCAGCTCAAGGACAGGCTGTGGACTGTCCAGAACAGTAGCTGCAGATGATGGGGTCCCAGGCAGGTCAGGAAGCTGGCTGAGCATAAGGCTTCAGGGAAGCCCACATTACACCTCCTCCAGCGCCCACTACCCTCCTGTGCGACCTCAAAGCCCCGTTCAAGCACATGCCAGCTCCTGGAGGTCCTTCCCTGGAAGCCCTTTCAGTGCCCACAGCCCTGTGCACATCACTCTTCAGGTAAGAAGCAGGGTCGGATGGAGTCTGGGCCCCCTTAGCTGGCATAACAGCCTTGGACACAGGTCCTCCAGACTCTGTTCCCTGCACCCACCCTGCCTGGGAATCCTACCAGCTTTGGGAGCCAATATCCAGTGGGGGCTGTGTACTCACAGGGGTAGAGGATGACGCTGGCCCTGGGGGCAAGACGTGGGGGCAGAGGGCAGCGCCAGAAGTCAGGGTCGAGGCGATGCTGTCCCTCTACCACAAGGCTGTAGCTTTATCTGTCCAGCAGGCTGTGCAGGAAATATAGTGGGGAGGCAGAGAGGGCAGGGAATTTGGGGGAGTGGGGTCCCAGCCCTGTGTGGCTTCTGGAGGTGTTGAGTAAGCAGATCAGGTGCTGCTTCCGGTTCAGCACGTAGGTCAGATGCCAGAAGACACGGCCTCACCCTCCCTGGCGGTTGCACTACCCCCTGCCCGCTCTGGTGCTGAGCATTTCCACGCATCGGTTCCCATGAGGCGCACACAGCACCACAGTCACTACCTCACCGGAAACAAGTGATGGAAGCGCTGGAGCGGCCTCGGGCCTGGTCCAAGATGCAAGCAGGAGGTGGCTAGAAGCCAGCTGGCGTGGCGGGGCCAGGCCTGGATCGGGGTGTCGCCCCTTCCATGAGCTCTGGAACCCAGGCTTTGAGAGCAGCCTCCCAGGAGGTACTCAGAGCAAACCCATCACTACCAGAAACTCTGGACAGTCACATCCACGTAGGGGCTCCTCAGAAGCAGGGCTGGCAATCTGCTCCTGGGAACACAGTGGCTGTGACGGGCACGAGAGCCATGGAGCAGACACTCTCCATGTCAACTGCCTGGGAAGCAGAGGGCTCCCAGGCAGGTGCCCAGCCACAGACCATGTTTGCTTCTGGCATTCTCACAGATGGTCCATCTTCACACAGACGCTACACGCCCAACAGACATCAGCAAGTGGACTGCATGCAAGGCCATTGCCTTGGCCATCCAGAGCTAGTCAGAAGTGGACAAACAGCATGAACTCCATACACAGAGCTCAACTATGCTAGTATCTCTGAGACACACACCCCTGGTCAGCAGAAATGGGCCTGTTCTGAGGACCCAAGGAGTAACACCCCCACCCACCCACCCCACCCCCTGCTAAGGGTACCAGCCCAGACAGCCTCCACACATGGAACCTGATGGCCACAGTGTCAGGGTGCCTTGCACCCCTCATTCCACCCTGGAACATGCTCAGGGCCTCCAGGTCTCTCACTGGTGGCCCGCAAAAGGATGGATGCCAGGATGGATCGCCTGACATGATCGTGAAGACCTCCTGCCTCTGGCATCACCATGCTGCCTCCAGCATCCTGGATCTGCCCAGCTCCACACACCCTGTCCCTCCCTGCCAGCCTATAGCCCCAGGGAGAACTGCAGGTGCAGGCCAAGCCACCCAGGACAGCCTCTGAGTTAGGAGTTAGAGGGGATCCCAGAGCCCTGCCCCCTCAGCAAAGGCCAGACCTGTTTCTTGACCCTACGGCCCTGCCCCAGGCGGATGGAGGGTCAGGGAGGCAGATGGAGGGTTAGGGAGGGGATGGAGGTTGGGGGAGGGAGTCTACTGTAGCAGAAGGCCGCAGCTGTGCTTTCTTCTCCGGCCATCACCCAGGACAGGGTGGGAAGCCCCTGCCTCCACCACGTGGATTTCAGAGGGGGAATCCATTCCTCTCCAGTGACCTCAGACCAAGGTGTGGAGAGGACGTGCTCAGAGGCCAGGTGATGAGTTCGAAAGCACGACATTGCACCGAGGACACCTGGCCGAGCCCAAACCAGCAGCCCGGCCACAGACGGGTTTCTGGGGGTTCCACGCAGGAAGCAACCCCGTGGCTCTTCCATCGGGGTAAGTATCGGCACTCCTCTGTCCAGAGGCCACCCAGAATCTGTCCACCCCCGCGCGAGTCAGGGAGACTCCCCCGCGGTGCCAGCCGCTCCCTCTTGTAGGGCGCTGAGGGCGCGGGGCTCGCGCTGCCGCACCTGTCCGCTCCTCCAGGGTCCGTGGCGCCGCCGCTGCTGCCCCCTGAGCTTCAAGTCCTGAGTCCGCCACCTCTTTGATCCCGAACCCCTTTGGATAAAAGTCTGAGCGGCTCAGCGCCAGCACCTCAAAGGGGAGCGCAGGCGAGCCGGGCGCACTAGCCTGGCGGCGCAGCACCAAACAGAAACCGGCGCGGGGCCGGCTGCGGGCGGTGAGAGCAGGCTCCGGAGCATCCGGCGGCTCTGGGTGGAGAAGACAGGCCGGTTCTGAGACCAGGACGGGGAACCCGGGCTGCAGTGGGGCCCAGGACACAGAGGAGGCCGGTGGCTCCAGGTGAGCACTACGGCCCGACGGGCCCAGTTGACGAAGGTCACGCCCGAGGTGGAGCAGCTCCGCTCCGTGCGGGCCAGAGCGGGCGCGGGGGCGTTGG